TCAAATAAGTTAGTGACATGTTTTCCACGTCACTAATTAGTGACATGGAACTCGCGTCGCAAAAAAGGTTGATGCTCTGACCACCTACTGTTGCGCCTGTTACAACTGAGAGATTGTGTTTTCTGTACAAACATGTTGCGACGTGGTTTTCACATCACAATTTTGTGACATGTAATTCACGTAGCAACAAAGTTGCCACGCGCTCTCCTGTAATGTAATAAGCCATATCGCAAAAAACATATTGTGACATACTTTTGGATATTGTGACGTGATTTGCACGTCCCAAATAACAAAAAAATTTTGTAGTGGCACACCAAATATCACTTCCAAAATAGGCTTTTCTTTTCTAGATATCAAGTCTACCCACAAAACTCTCTTCTCAATTATAGATTTCTTAGAATACACGTTTAAGACAAAACATTCAGAATGAGAATGACTCCCACTCCAAACAATTTGGAACGGGGAAGAAAAATAAAGATTTTCCTTTCGAACTACACCAGATTAAAAGAAGACCACCACTACTCTACAGAGACGGACTAAAGCTCCAATCACATATCGAGTTACCCCACAAAAAATGAACTAGAGATCGGAGAGACCAAAGAGAACTCAAAAAGCTAAGTTTGATTGTTATATAATCTAAGGAATTAGACCTAATAAGATCCTTAACCTTACTCTTCTTGATTCTACCCCTAGACCTCTACAATGAAAAGATTAAACTGTGAGTCAGTATGATGGGAAAAAGAGTCTTGGAGAAGATGATTTAAAATTTTCCTTAATCAAATATTTATGGCTCACTAAATATTTACCTTTAACAAAGGCATGGTGATTTGGTGAGATAAGATGATCCATGACATTGGTCAACCTACCTGAAAGAACTTTGGCCACCACTTTATACAAGCATCATATTAATGAAATGGTTTAAAGTCCCTTAATTGTATAGGAAGGTGTACTTTGAGAGCCAAAGAAATGAAAAAAAAGATGAAATTTTTTGTTGAAGCCTTGAGTTAAAGAAGAGCTGATCAAACATCAGTACTATGTCAGTCCAAAGAAGGTGCCATAAATATTAGATTCAAGAAAAATTTAACTCATCTTCTCCAAGACTCTTTTTCCCATCACACTAGCTCACAGTTTCATCTACCTAACCTAGAATGAAAAGATACAACAATATCGACCATTCATACAAATAATATCTTAATTTGAATGCACTTTTTCTTATAGAATGTTATTGTTATACTAATGAACTGAAAAATGATAATGGTTGAATAATTAATTTTGTTGTACTATATTTGAACTGTGAGTAAGAAAAGAAGTTGGTGTCGAAGTTGGATTTAAAAGTTAGAAATATTGATTGTTGCATTAATGGTTACATGTTGTTTTATGACAACGAGTTTGGTACTCAAGATGGATTATTGGAGGAATGCAAGTTTTGTAAGAGTCAAAGATATCAAGTTCGTAGTAGAGCCATTAACAGCAAGCAAAAACGTGTAGCAGTAAATTCCATGTTTTATCTTCCGATAATACCAAGGTTAAAAAGAATGTTTGCTTCAATACACTCTGCAAGTAAAATCACATGGCATCATACAAACAAAACAAGTCGAGGCACTATGCAACATCCATCTGATGGCGAGGCATAGAAGCACTTTGATCGGACACATCCTGATTTTGCCACAAAACCTAGAATTGTCAGGCTTGGATTGTGCTCTGATGGTTTTTCTCCATATGTCCAAGCGTCGGGAATTGATTCTTGTTGGCCAGTTATTGTAACCCCTTACAACCTCCCTCATGAGATGTGCATAACAAAACTATACATATTTTTGACGTACGTCATCCCAAGGCCGACTAGTCCAAAAGCCAAAGTCGACGTGTACTTACAACCTTTAATTGATGATTTGAAGAGGTTGTGGATTAAAGAATGAACTTATGATATATCCCGTAAACAAAATTTTACTTTGCGAGCTGCGTTGATGTGGACCATTAACGACTTTTCAGCATATGACATGCTGTCTGGTTGGGGTACGCATGTCAAAATGGATTGTCCGTATTGCATAGGATACACCAAGGCGCTTACGTTGGATAAAGAGGGAAAACTCATGGTTTGACTGTCACCCGCATATTCCTACCAACAAATCATCCTTATAGAAGAAACAAGACAAATTTCAAAAAAGACGTACGGGTAACAGATTTGCCTCTGCCTCGATTGTCACCGGGTGCTATATGGAATCAAGTTTGTGAACTGTCAAAATCCAGATACTGGTAAAAGATGTAGAATTGAAGGATATGGAGTTACACAATTGGTTAAAAAGAAGTATATTTTGGGACCTCCCGTATTAGAAAAATAATTTGTTGCGCCATAATCTTGATGTTATGCATATTGAGAAGAATTTTTTTGATAATGTATTTAACACAATGATGGATGTTAAAGACAGAACAAAAGATAATGAGAAGGCTAGACAGGACATGGAAATTTGGTGTAATCGGAAAGAGTTAGAGTTGAAGCCTAAACCGAATGGAATATTATTAAAACCCAAGACTTGTTTTAGTCTGACTTCCCAAGAAGCTAAGGCGATTTGTCGATGGTTAAAAGATTTGAGAATGTCCGATGAATATTCTTCAAATTTAGAAAGGTATGCCGATCTAGATAACCCGTAAAATTAATTTTTTATTTATTTTGTTTTTACTTTTGAATTTGTGTAAATTTAAAAATATTAAGTATATTAAATTTAGAAATATTAAATTTATAATTTCAGTTTATTAATTATTATATAAAATTTATTTAGTTTATTAATTTTATTATATTAAATTTATTTAGTTTATTAATTTATAAAATTAATATATTTATTAATTTAATTTATTAATTGTTATATTGTTTCAGAAATTAATTTTAAAAAAATAAAAGAAAATAATTAGTGACATGATTCCCATGTCACTAATTTGTGACATATAAACCACGTCGTAACTTTCAAATATATTACTGCGTTTCTTTGTAAAATCAAATAAGTTAGTGACATGTTTTCCACGTCACTAATTAGTGACATGGAACTCACGTCGTAAAAAAAGTTGATGTTCTGACCACCTACTGTTGTGTCTGTTACAACTGAGAGATTGTGTTTTATGTACAAACATGTTGCGACGTGGTTTTCACGTCACAATTTTGTGACATGTAATTCACGTAGCAACAAAGTTGTCACGCGTTCTCCTGCAATGTAATAAGCCACATCGCAAAAAACAAATTGTGACATACTTTTGAATATTGTGACGTGATTTGCACGTCGCAAATGATAATTTTTTTTTTTGTAGTGGCACACTAAATATCACTTCCAAAGTAGACTTTTCTTTTCTAGATATCAAGTCTACCCACAAAACTCTCTTCTCAATTATAGATTTCTTAGAATACACGTTTAAGACAAAACATTCAGAATGAGAATGACTCCCACTCCAAACAATTTGGAACGGGGAAGAAAAATAAAAATTTTCCTTTCGAACTACACCAGATTAAAAGAAGACCACCACTACTCTACAGAGACGGACTAAAGCTCCAATCACATATCGAGTTACCCCACAAAAAATGAACTAGAGATCGGAGAGACCAAAGAGAACTCAAAAAGCTAAGTTTGATTGTTATATAATCTAAGAAATTAGACCTAATAAGATCCTTAACCTTACTCTTCTTGATTCTACCCTAGACCTCTACAATGAAAAGATTAAACTGTGAGTCAGTATGATGGGAAAAAGAGTCTCGGAGAACATGATTTAAAATTTTCCTTAATCAAATATTTATGGCTCACTAAATATTTACCTTTAACAAAGGCATGGTGATTTGGTGAGATAAGATGATCCATGACATTGGTCAACCTATCTGAAAGAACTTTGGCCACCACTTTATACAAGCATCATATTAATGAAATGGGTTTAAAGTTTCTTAATTGTATAGGAAGGTGTACTTTGAGAGCCAAAGAAATGAAAAAAAAAATGAAATTTTTTGTTGAAGCCTTGAGTTAAAGAAGAGCTGATCAAACATCAGTACTATGTCAGTCCAAAGAAGGTGCCATAAATATTAGATTCAAGAAAACTTTAACTCATCTTCTCCAAGACTCTTTTTCCCATCACACTAGCTCACAGTTTCATCTACCTAACCTAGAATGAAAAGATACAACAATATCGACCATTCATACAAATAATATCTTAATCTGAATGCACTTTTTCTTATAGAATGTTATTGTTATACTACTGAACTGAAAAATGATAATGGTTGAATAATTAATTTTGTTGTACTATATTTGAACTGTGAGTAAGAAAAGGAAACATAGGCAAAGATATTAGGGTGCAGTTTTACCTAAAGAAGAGAGATTAATTAGAGAGAAACAAAAAGATGAAACACCCAATTCAAAAAAAGTGATTATAATTAAAAAGCTTCCACATCAATCCTCACTTCTACTGACACTGCATTTTCTCTTCAAACATATAGCCGGTTTGCCGCAGCCACTCTGCCAAACAACTCTTACTACATGAAAAAAGAAACTCTTATGCATTTTTAAATATTTATATTTATTTATTTATTTTCCCTATGTTTCTATACTCTTATTAGGTTCAACATACAAATGCCAATGTTCATAGGTTTTTTAGCATTGGGATCTATTTTAATGAATATTTTTTTCACATTTTTTTAAGCATTCTCTATACTTGACTACCATAAACGGCATGACAGAAAAGCCAGCATTTGTTTCAGCACATACAACAATAAAATTATCTTTAGAACAGAAATTTTTACACTCTTCAAAATCAATTATTTTTTAATCATCTCAAAAGTTAAATAGTGTGATCAGAATTTACTATAAAGCATTGACATTAATTAATCTATGCAATGTAACAGTTGCTAGGGTTTAAAACCCTGAAACACAGTAACAATAACAATAAAAAACTTTAGAAAAGAAAATAATAACAATAATAATAAATTAGTTTTTTTTTATAGGTATAGTAGTAGTACTATACTATAGTAGTGCTCAAAGCTTCAAAGATAAATCAATGGAATCATAACCATTTGTAGAATCTCCTCCACCATAGTTTGTATTAACAGTGATAGATGAAGATGAAGAAGCTTCACCAAACCCAAAATCAATTGTTGGAAATTCTTGCTCCTTGGAAACTGTGTCTCTTTCATCTTTTCTAGGAAAAAACTTATATTCCAGAATATCTTTGCCATTCCTGATGAAGAATTTCCTCTCTTATGTACAGTAACAACTTCAATTATCTTAACAAAAAAAAAAAAAAACCCTATCAATTTCTTAACTCATCAATAAAATAAATAAATAAATTAATTAAGTATAGATAAGAATTAATCTACCTCATCATGTTTGAATAATAGTTTGTTATGGAAATCATGAACATGATTAGACCAGATTGAACCTCTCATTACATTTTCTTCTTCATTGAAACGTGTTTTCTAAAACAACAAACTCGCATTAATATATAATTTAATATATAAAATATTGTTAAAACAAACACAAAAATAGAGAAAAATACCTTGAGGCAAAGATCAAAGGATTGAGAATTGAGATTTTGCATTGAAGAGAGATCTTTAGAAGGCTCGAGAGGGTTTCGAAAAAGTGACGATCCAGATCCAAAATGGGTTGGTTTGTTGTTGTTATGTTGATTATTAGGTAAAACCCAAGCTGAAGCAACGTTAGAACATGTTCCAAGACCAAACCCGTTTTTGTAAGGACCAAAAGCAGAAGCACCAACAATAGTACTAGTATCGTTGTTGATGATGATGTTTTCATTGATCATCATTTGTTGTTGTTGAGGAAACTGAAATGGTGAAGTTGAAGATAATGCACCATACCGCAAAAGAACTTGGTGTTGTTGCTGTTGAGGATGATGATGATGATGATGATGATGAGGATGATCAATGTTGAATACACCAGAAGCTTCAGCCATTTTGTTCAACTGTTCTTGAGCTCTCAATCTCTCTAACTGTTCAACACCTACGCCTCTCTGAGGTTGTTTCTTTGGACCTTTGTTTTTTCTGCTTTTGGTTCTTCCTCCAAGCGTTTCATTTTCAGAGGCCATTTCAAGGGTTTGAAGTTTGTAGTTAAAAAGAGAAAAAGGGTGTGTGGTAAAAGTTGTGAGAAAATGTGTATATATAGTGAGAGAGAGAGAGAGAGTGTGTGAGAGTGAGAGTTTTAATTTGATGAAGTGAAAGGATATGCAGAAAGTGTTTGTGAGAAATGGTGAAAGGACATTTTGGTATACGTGTGTGATGCTTTTAGGGGCTCTTGTGGTTTTGTGACTCTGTCTTCTTCTTCTTTCCTTTCTGTCTTTTGCTTCTTCTACACAAACCTCTTTTTTTTGTCTTTTACTTCAACCCATTTTTAGGTTTTCTTTTTCTTTTTTCTTTTAATAATCTTATCACCTGTGTTTATCTATGATTTTGTGATTTTAATTCCTTGCATTTTAAATATAAATGGTTTCATTTAGATATTTCTGTTTAGACCTAAATTGTCCATGATTAACAACATTTTCTAATACACATGGTTAACAAATCAACATTGTCCATGTTAACATAATCAACTGTTTTTAAGGTTTTAAAAAAAGGGTATGCGGCCGTAAAAATGGCTGCGACAAAATGATATCGATAGATATTAATAGTTATTAATCGTTTTTAGGCTGACCAGTTAAATCATTCTTAGATGAGACAAAGATTGCTTCCTAAATGCATCATTCTTAACGAGAGTGAACTTGTAATTTTAACAAGGATTGCATTTTCTCATTAATTAAAACACAAAATTTAATTTTCTCTTAGTAGAAAATGTACAAAAAATGAAAGTAAAATAAAAAATTGTTCCCAATTTTGATTGGATGATGAGTATATAGGTTGTGAGGCTGTACTAAAGTG